CATAAAGGATGTCATGTAGTCACACCATGTTCCCTGAAATCCTTGGATCAGTAATGTTAAATAGGTCTCTGGAATTTTAATAAGTGACACAATGTCAGAATACAATGTTGATGTAGAATCACTACACCTCTTTCCCATTGCTTGCTTTCTCCAGACCTTTCTCTTATATTTCCTTAATTCTCAGATGTAGTCATTAAGGCAGGAGGATAAGGCACATTTCAGAAACCTGCATAGCCCCATTTTCCTCCTCCAGTGTCACACACACAACACATCATTCCTTCATCAGAAGAAAAACTCTGGGCACATCAGTAGGCCAGATGTTCAGGACCAGCTCCTTTGTGTCCAGTCATGTTTGGGGAACTTGGAGCTATTCTAAGTTGCATACGACAGCAGGAACTCTGGAGACTTTGGTTTCACAGTTCATCTGAAGACATGGATACAGATCTTTTGTGTCTGTCCCTGGGTGGTTGTTTGTCTGGTCCAGAAATCTTCCAAAGATATTTTTGTGCCAACTCCAGACATAAGAACGGCCATACTGGGTCAGACCAATGGTCCATCTAGCCCAGTATCCTGTCTTCCAACAGTGGCCTGTGCCAGGTGCAGTGGTTTCCCCAGGAATTGAAATTAGGGGGAGGGGGGTTCAAATTTACAGGGGGGGTGTCAGGGCCGATGAGATATATAAAAAAGAGATAGGATAATGCAAATTTAACATAAGGATAATGCAAGTTACACCAAAACACATAACAGGTCTAGATTTCTAAAAAAATATAATTAAAAAAAATGTATTTAATTTAAATTGACCTTTGAAAAGTAAGCCATCATGGGATAAGAGTGAAGTCCTCTCATGGATCAGTAACTGGTTAAAAGATGGGAAACAAATTATCAGTTTTCAGAATGGAGAGAGATAAATAGTGGTATCCCTGAGTGGTCGGTACTGGGACCATTACTGTTCAACATACTCATAAATGATCTGGAAAAATGGGTAAAAAGTGAGGTGGCAAAATTTGGGGAAGGATCTCACAAAACGGGGTGACTGGGCAACAAAACGGCAGATGAAATTCCATGTTGATAAATGCAAAGTAATGCACATTGGAAAACAATCTCAACTATACAAACAAAATGAAGGAGTCTGAATTAGCTGTTAACACTCAAGAAAGAGATCTTGGAGTCATTGTGGATAGTTCTCTGAAAACATTCACTCAATGTGCAGTGGCAGTCAAAAAGGCAACCAGAATGTTGGGAATCATTAAGAAAGGGATAGATAATAAGACAGAAAATATCATATTGCCTCTATATAAATCCATGGTACGTGTACACCTTGAATACTGTGTGCAGATCTGGTCACCCCTCCCAAAAAAGATATATTGGAAAAAGTACAGAGATGGGCAACTAAAATGATTAGGGGTATGAAACAGGAGGAGAAATTAAAATGACTGGGAATTTTCAGCTTAGAAAAGAGACGACTAAGGAGGGATATGATAGAGGTCTATAAAATCTTGACTGGTGTGAAGAAAGTGAATAAGGAAAGGTTATTTAATCCTTCACATAACACAAGAACTAGCAGTCACCCAATGAAATTAAAAGACAGCAGGTTTTAAAAAAACAAAAGAAAGTACTTCTTCACACAACATAAAGTCAACCCGTGGAACTCTTTGCCAGGGGATGCTGTGAAGACCAAAACTATAACAGGATTAAAAAAAGAACTAGATAAATTCCTGGAGAATAGGTCCATCAGTGGCTATTAGCCAGGATGGGGAGGGATGCAACACCATGCTCTGAGTGTCCCTAGCCTGTTTGCCAGAAGCTGGGAATGAGCAACAGGGGATGGATCACTGATGATTACCTGTTCTGTTCATTCCCTCTGAAGCACCTGGCCTTGACCACTGTCGGAAGACAGGATACTGGGCTATATGGACCATTGGTCTGACCCAGTATGGCTGTTCTTATGTAAAAATTAATTATAATAATAAAAATGTTTAGTACAGAAACTCCCCAACATAATGACCTCTCAAGATAGCAACGATGTGAGATAATAATGCATTTTAAAAATCTTGGCCTACTAGGAAACATATTTATATAAGTTTCCATTCCCAGTCACAAATCTAGCATTCTGGAGCAAAGTCACTAAAATATAGTCCAACAAACAAATGTTTATTTAACGTGCCCCTCACTTTTCCCTCCACTGCACCCCACTCACCGGTGTTGTCCTTGGTCAGTGGAGACTCAGAGTTCAGAGGTGCTTTCACGTGAGTACACCTCCCAGGTGGGGGCAAGAAGGCGCCTTGCTTGTTCCTCCAGCTGCTCACTGTTCGCTCTGGCCACTGCTGTTCATCATGCCACCGTTCACTCCACCACTCTGTTGCCAACGGCCCTGCGCAGTCACCTGCTGCCACCTGCCACTGTGACCTCTGCGAGTTGGTCTCGAGGTTCCACCCAGCTCTCAGTGCTTTCAGCTGAGCTCTCAGTAGTGGAACCTCGCTGCTAGTGCAGTCTGGGCCGTCTCTTCCACAGAAACACTGTCCCCACAGCAGGACTAAGCACTTAGACCTGATTATCAGTGATTTCAGCTACAGAACAAAAGATTATCTATGGAGCCTAATCAGCTCTGTCTTTAAACAGTGGAGAGGGACAGGTCCCCACCCTCTCTCTTGATGCCCTCAATCAGCACAGGCTAAGTACAGTTCTACTTCCCTTTACTCATACAGTAAGAACAACAGCATTTCATTCCCCCCCACTGCATTCAAGTGATTTGTAACCCAACCCCAGCCAAAATCTATCACTTGGGCAACACAGCTCTGTTTGCTGGATACCTAGGTAGATTAGGCGTGAATGTAAATACAATCTGGTTCTGAAGCCTTTCCCCCCAGCTCATCACTAGCTGTCAGGGAGAGCTCATTTAAACTTTGCTTATAAATCATCATTTGAAATTATTAGCTTGGCCAACATCACCGAAATGAATGCACTGACATTGTCATAAAAAACAACAGCTGTGTAAGGAAGCTAGTCTATGTTCATACTTTTCAAATCTATTATACTTTTTCAGATACATGTATTTTATCATACACTGTATATGCTTTTAAAGTGTGTATTAATGTTTCAGTTTCAATTCAGACTTCCAAACAGTCACTAAATTGGCATGTAACTAGTTCACAAAACTGGGGGGAGGGAGGAATTCGGGGGGGTGTAGGGAAATCACTGGGTGCTTCAGAGGGAATGAACAGAACAGGTAATCATCAAGTCATCCATCCCTCAATATCCCCCAGTCTTTGATGCTTCACCCAGCATACACTATTCTGATCTCAATTACATCAGCCTAAATTCAGGCTAACTCTACGGATATCAGGAGTATTATTTTGGATAGTTGGCCTGATTCTTGCAGCTCCTCAACCTGTGTAAACTGTTGTAGCTCAATTGAAGTCAGTTTTCACCATCTGAGGATCTGGCCCTATGGTTCTATGAATAGCTGCACAGCATCCCTGCAGAACAGCTTAGGTTGTATGTCGTGTACTGTGGCATCCCCCACCCAGTGGTTCAACAATGTGAGAGGGCCAGCCGTTCACCCCTACCGCCAGTGCTTACTTTGTGCCAGGGTTTGCCAGGACTGAGCCCCAGCACCTCTAGGCTTGCTGCATCAGTTATGACATTAAAAAAATTGCTTGAGCCCCAGCACATCTTTAATTACAAATTAAACACTGCCTACAGCCCTGGTTGTCTAGAGAGCTGGAAGGAAATCTTATTGCCACTTCCTGCTGCCAGCTCTCCTCTGATTGCACGAGGGGATGGCATTCCAGCAGGGACACAGCAGGCAGAGAGTCTGGGCTCAGGACTGGGGGCAGCCTGTCTGCAGGCGACTATGAGCTTGCACCATGCTGCACTGCACGTGAGAATCAACCAGAGCCTGATTCTTGCAGATCCTCAACCTGTGTAAACTGTTGTAGCTCAATTGAAGTCAGTTTTCACCATCTGAGTATCTGGTCCTATGGTCTGAGAGAGTGTGTTGTTTTTTCTCAGATTGACAGTTTACTGACATTGCATCAGCAATACTGAGGTGTAAATGAAACTAAGTGACACTAAAGAAAAACTAAATCTTCTCAGAGCAAGTGCAAGAAACAATTGACTCTGCCCCTCTCCATGGACTTCCTGACAAATAAACCAGGTCAAATAGGCTGATTTTGTACTGTGCATTTTCTCCTTGCTCCAAATGTTTGTGAGTCAGAACTCCCTAAAAATAAGCTCCGTGGGGTTTAGAACAAATGATACCCTCATTTCTTGAGTTATGTAAAGTGGCAGAGGGTGATGATGAAAATCAAAACAACAAATAAATGCTACGTTTAGTGTATGCTTTCATTGCCTTTGCAAAAGGAAAGTATATCCCCCCAAAAGTCAGCTGTGTCTTATCAGCTTTGCAAAATGATGAATGAATGCCTTGTTCATTACTATTGCTTAAGTCATTCCTATTTATGCCAGTATTTGGAGGATTATGTTTTGATTGTTCTCGAGAGATGAAAACACTTTCTTGCTGATGAATAAACACTGCCACTTTTTAAATATTTGTATGCAAAATGTCTTTAAAGCCATTATGAAATGCTTTCCAAAAGCATTAAGAAGCTGTTTTTCGAAAAGCCACTTTTTCTCTACATTTTCTTTCATGCTAAACAGTCCAAATGAAAGGCCTTTCAGAGTTAACTAGTTTAAGCAATACCAGTGTTTTAGTGTAATGAATAACTTTTTATAGAGGACAATTGCACAGAGTTCAATATGCTAGTATTTCTATTTCTGTGCCCCACCAATGCGGGATTCTGTGGTAGAATTTCTTTCTTCGAGAAAGCTGAAGCGATCAAAACCCTGATTAACCTCTGATATTCACGTGGTGCTCTTGATCTTGAGGACCGAAGCAATAACAAAGAGTTAATGGCAGCCATATGCTTAGGGTATTGTGGGTACTGTTGACCCAAATGTGAACTCCGTGAGTGACTGCTGCTAACTGCTGTTTGTTTCAGGTTTGGCGTGGAGATTACTGATGAAGAGTTTGAGCTGCTACTTGACAGAATCCCCCTTGATGAAGATGGAAATGTCAGATACCCCCAGTTCATGGCCATGTTTGATTCTCGGTACTCAGCTTATACATTTTATTTCTCATTTGTTAGTAGAATTTTTTTGTTTAATCTAAGAGGCTTACATAACATTGCTAAACAGGCTTGGATTTCGTAAATGTGCTCCTTTATTTCATTCATTTGTATTTCATATATATAATATGCTGATAATACTTAAGACTAGGTGATACTATCATCACATTTTATTTATAATTTAATTGCTCTTTAAATACTTATTAATTAGTTACTGTATTATGAAGAATACACCATTGAGGTAAATAGTTGCATGTGATATATCTAGTGCTAAGGAATATGATAAACTTGTAAGTACAAACTAATGATTTCTAAAAACAGTCATAGATGCTTTTAATACCTATGTAAGAACATGTTGCATTTGCAGATACTATATATAGTTTGGAATGCTTTTGAGCGGGGTAGTTGCTTTATGGAGATTTTTTTTCTATTCAACCTCTTAAGGCCCAGATATGGATCGAGTTTAGGTTAAAAATTATATTTGAGACACATGGTGATATTTTATTGTTGAAAATTAGGGCCTGATCCTGAAAACCATTAATCATGTGAGTAGCACTGTAGAAGTTAATGGGATTACTCAAGTGAGGACTACTTGTTGGAGTAAAGTTTTGAAGGAACTAGTCCTTAAATTGGAATAGAAAGTGACCACAACTTGACTCTGGGATGGGAAAAGCAAGACTTATTTTCAATGAATTGCTTAAAAGGTTAAGATCCAATCCTGCAGTCCTGGTGTACATCAAAATCCTAAATTTTGGATGTGCAAAATCCACAGGATTGAGACCCTATACTGGGCCAATTATTAAAGGTGCCTTTTATATTCAGACAATAAATATATATTTCCTGTATCTTTTTTTATGAAAAGTTGTGTATGTGCGGGTAAACTTATAAATGACAACCTCACTTGTGCATATTACATGTTGGGCATTTGTGCTCACATTTCACAAAAATGTACATGCATGTTTACATTTGTTTGTGCTGTTTAAATAATCTGAAATGTGCACGGGCCATTATTAGAATTTGTTCCCACAATATCCACCGAGGCCATGGGATTTGGAGGTGCAAATTCTAACACTCGCATGCATATGTATATGTTAGAGCTATTTAAAAGTAATGCCCTATTATTCAAGTTTTAGCAGGTGTTTACACCTGCATACTTCAAGTGCAAGTCAGGATACACCCAGTTTTGTGAGCATATACATGAAGGCCAGGTCTAAGGTTTTGGTGAGAATTTATCTTGCATTGTATTGAAACCATATGTATTACTAAAGTGCAATTTATACACTGCAAACTTGGCCAATTTTCACATCTCTTTGATCCCACCTCCTCCTCCCTACTTAGAGTAAGTCTACACCACAGACACTACAGCAGCACAGCTATGGTGCTGCAGCTGTGCCACTGTAGCGCCATAGACACTTGCTGCAGTGATGAAAGGGGGGTTTCTGTTGCTGTAGTTAATCCACCCCCTCAAGAGTCGGTAGTTAGGTCAATAGAAAATTTTTTTAGCATATTGTTTACTCCTGTTGCCAAAACTTCCTCTCCAGTTCCCAGTCATATATATCCTTCAGTCTAGTGTCAGTTCATGCCATTCCACTGAATCTTTTCCCATCAAAGTAATTTAATGGTCACTTCTTAATGATGTCTAGAGGCCTCGTCTCCATTTTTAATCCTCCTTGTTATCTTTCATACAGTGGACCAACACTTTCCCCTCAAGTCTTCTTTCCAGACTTCTGCAACTCTTGCCTCTCCTGGTTCTCCTCTTTTAATTAATTTATTTATTTTACTGCTCTATTAGCATTGCTTTCTCACCTTCCTCCCTTCCCTTTTGGTAGCTGTCCCCTAGTGGTCTTTCTTTGGTACTTTCTCTTCATTCACCCCTAGTGTGAACTGATGTACTACTCTTGTTTTAGTTTCCACTTACATGTTCATGACTCTCAAATCTATATCTCTACCCCAGATTTCTCCTGCTCCATCTACACTTCTATCACCTCTTGTATCTTTGGTATTTCCTCAGGGGAATTAAATATGTCTAAAAAGAGACTTTATTTCTTTCCCCCTATTTCTCTGTCTCTGTTAACAATACCACTCTCTCTTTCTAGCCACTTAAGCTACAACCTAGGGTCATCTTTGACACTTAACTTTCCTTCACTCCTCACAAGAGCTGTCCAAATAATTTTTTTTTTTTTTTTTTTTTTTTTGCCCTACCAAAAATTTAAAAAATAAATAAACTGATTTAAAAAAAATTTGGGTTATTTGAAAAGTAAAAAAACCCATTCATTTCAGGGCAGATGAAACATTATGTTCGACCTGAAAAGAAACATTTAGGTTTGATATTTTTACATATTTTTAATACAATTGAAATTACTTTCAAAATAAAAATGTCTTCAAATTGAAAAATCAAAACATTTAGTTTTAAAAATGTCTAAATGAAATGTCTTGATTCATTTCATTTTCAGTATTCCTTTTTCCACCCAAAACAGTGAATTTAATATGAATTCTCAAAATGTTTTGACACAGATTTTCAGAATGATGTGAATCTGAATTTTTTGGCCAAAAAACAAAACAAAACAAAAACAAAAAAGTTTGGTCTGAAAAATTTCACCCAGCTTTGCTCCTCACATCCAGGCTCTCATCAAATCCTGTTTCTGATCCCTGTCCATCATCTTCATGATCCAGGGGTGAGTTCACACCTATCAATCTCAATAGGGCTTTAACTTAACCTATAACAAGTTTTTGCCAGCTTATAACAACCTCGGCTTTGTTCATCATCCTGATGAGACCTAAAATGGCATCCCAAACAGATGTGACAAATGTTTAACTATTTACATATGTACGTCTATCATGATAGTTTCACATCACCAACCTAAAATAATTTTATTCACACCAAAATACCTTTGGGACTTTTCTCTTGCTGGGTTTCCATTCACTTGCCAATCAGGCCCTGAGGAGCATCTGTTGTTTCTGTAGAATTTGCTGGCTGAGGCAGACTCTGCCCATTCTTATTTGAGTGGTGGATTCATCTCTGTAACAGCTTTTCCAGTCTCAACTTCCATTGCTATATTCTCAGATTCAAGCTGAAATTCTCTTCCCCTTATGCCACCTTAGATAGTCCTTATGGACAACCTTGGGTTTAGTCCTGGGACCCAACTGTATCTTTTACACCACCTAAGTTATTTGGGTCAGTGCTGTGTAGGGTCCCTCCCAAGACTGATCCAGTTTAGGGCTTGTACTCTTGTTTCTTCTAGGATTGTGGAATCAGACTAGGTCCCCCCCTTTTAAAAGTTTCCCCACACGGCCTTACATCCTACAGCCTGTTCATTTTTAGGAGCAGAATCTTAGGTTACAGCCCCAAGATTCTTTAGCCAACAGACTCAAAAATTTTTTCCCCAAGGTCACTGTGATGGGCTTAACGCCTATCACCTACAAGGTATCTGGGTGGGTAATTAACTAATTGCCTTCTGGCCAGAGGAGGTGGAGCTAGGCCTTATAAGTAGGCTGGGAGAGCTCAGTTGGATTGAGACTGCAGAGGAGCAGGTCTCTCTGGTGGGGAGAGATGCCCTGGCTAAAATAGGGTTTAACAGTCAGGAAACAATGGAAGAATACTACCACAAGAGCAGGCTAGGCTCCTACAGGGGAAACCCTTAGGTAGGGCCAACCAGAGAACTACATTGTAGCCTGAGAGGGGCAGAAGGGGTAGTTTGAAGATTTGGACTTTCATTTGGACTTGTACATGTTATCCTGGAAGGGGTTTAGACTTTCATGTGACTTGGCTGGAGGGCCAAGCCACGGAACACCCAGAGGGAGAAGGTGAAGGCTGGGAAAGGCCATTGCAAGGCCAAGGGAGAGTCTCATGGGGGGCACCAGAGATAAGGGGGCACCCACGAAGTAAAGATGGGCTATTACATATGCTACTAGAAGTGGGATTTGAGACCACCTTCTGAGGAAGGAGGAACATACCAACTACCTTAAAGGGGAGGTTCAGAGGGACTGACTCACTTTTGGGGGGAAGATGGAGGACTTGTTCCATATGCTGGCAGCCCAACAGGGGCAGATGCACGTTCTGTTGTTGCACCCACTACAAGGGCAGCAACAACAGTAAGAGATTCAATAGGAACATCTCCTGCAGTACCTAGAGAAGTGGACCCCAGGAACCCATATAGTTTCAGGAGAAGAGAATTCTGGCAGACCAGACCTGTACCAGACCCTCGTACCAGACCTGGCAAAATTGGGCCCAGGTGACGACCCTGAGGCATTCTGCATACCTTCAAGAGGGTAGAGACTGCAGCAAGGTGGACCAAATCCTCCTGTGCAGCTCAAATGGCCCTGTTCCTCTTGGGAGAAGCTCAGGCAGCCTACCAAGCTTTGTCCAGTGAGCAGGCATGGTCCTACAGAATTGTAAAAGAGGCCATTCTGGGCTGACCCCAGAAGTATACCGCCACCAGTTAGGACAGATCTTTTCTCGGGAGTGGGGTGTCCCACAGCAGCAGCTCTACGTTTATGAGATCTGGTAACCTGATGGTTGCAGCCTGACACAAACTCATTAGACAAGGTGGTGAACCTTATAATCCTAGAACAATTCCTAAGGGTCTTGCCTACCAGAGCCCAAAGTTGGGTCCGAATGTTTCTGCCAACTTTTACTGATGAGGCCGAGGGAGGGTGGAGGCCTTTATGGAAGCTGATGGTCCTGAACCACCTGAAAGAGGGATTGGATCAAAGGGAGCCTCATGGGGGGAGGGATAGCTCAGTGGTTTGAGCATTGGCCTGCTAAACCCAGGGTTGTGAGTTCAATCCTTGAGGGGGCCATTTAGGGATCTGGGGCAAAAATCTGTCTGGGGATTAGTCCTGCTCTGAGCAGGGGGTTGGACTAGATGACCTCCTGAGGTCCCTTCCAACCCTGATATTCTATGATTCTATGACCACTCCGAGGGAAGCAAAGCAAAGAGAAGTCCGACACAGCAATGGAAAAGTGGACACACCGAGAGATAAAT